GTTAGTGTACAGTATACGGGGGAGTATCATGTTTATAAATGTATAACGAACGAGGGGTATACGATCAAATGCGGGGGTGCCGGGGCATCACGATAGTCGATAGGGAGGTATAAAGATTAGGGGGAGGATATCCTAAAGGGGGTCGGATTACCACTTCACCCTGCCGCACGATGACTTCCCCCGGTAGCGCCACCACGCGCTCCAGGCCCTGGACGAGGCACACGATGTCGTCGAGGTCCATCGTGTGGAAGAGCGGCACTTTTCTCAGAAATGCCACGTGGAGGCTCAGCGTGAGCTGGACGTGCAGTTTGGGGGGGATCTTGTCAAGGCCATGGGCGGTCGCAGTGTGCGCCTTCTCCTCACCGAGAACTGTGTCGTAATAGTGCATGACGCGGGTCTGCAGGTCCTCGGACGCGTGGTGCGCGACGAGCCCCGTGCGGATGGCATCGAATTGGCTCGCCTGCTGGTCCGCGACCAAATTGACTTGCTTCATGAGCGTCGCACATGTGCCAAAGATACTAGAGCAACAAAAAGACAACGTGGGCGACGCCGGCATGTGTGGAGTACCTAGCGTTGATGACTATGCCCAGCAGGAGCAGCGTGCCCGTGACGTGCATTTCCACGGCCGTCTTGGGGAACAACGTGCTCCCAGATGTCATTGCGAGCGCTTGGTAGAACGAACCGACGTATTTCACCACAGTCGAATCGTTGGCGACGAACGGCACGTCCCTACTCGTTCCCCTTCATGTTAATGTTCACTTAGGTTTGGTATAGGCACATTACAATCTCACCCCCTGCACTATGCACCCTCGATATAGGTCGATATAAGCACAAACAATTGTGTCAATAAAGACTTGATATAGGCACACATATACACACGTGTATCCCCCAGCCAAACACAACGGTATAGCTACACTTCGCTGGAACCCCCGATGTCCCTTCATTCACGTTCCATCCGAAGGGGTCCCCCCCCTGGATATAGGAACATCCAGGCCTACCATTTGCTGTCGATCGTCTCCCACAGAGTCATGACGTAGTACCCGCACGCAATGTAGTGGTGCGCCACAAGGTACAGCAGGCCCAAGAGGAACAAGCGCAAGAGACTCGTGTTCATGTGACGAGACATCCAGTGCATAAATGTGACAAACGCCGTCGATTGAGCCATGTGCACAGCCTACACACAACGTCGGACCAATCAGTACAAATGTCGGTCGTTCGAGCCCAGCGGATATGCAATGGTTGGGCCGGGGCCCATTTAATTGACACTAGATCGCCAGTAATTGCAGACGGAAAGTCGATACTGCAGCGTGCCACGTCATAGATGAAGTGCAAAGTCGCCATCCTCCTCGATAAGGAAAGCATGCAACTTCGTAACGTTAGCATTTTACCCGCAAGACAATGCACAACCGAATGACCTTGAGCTGGGGGTACCGAATGTACGCGTCCGGACCCAAGAACGACGACGGCACGCTGCCTAAAAAGTCGAGCGGAAACCACCGCACCATGTACCGGCGGCGTAATCGGGCGACGTCAAACACTTCTTGGTGGGTCGACGGATCTTCGTACGACGTTTGGAATCGAAGGAGGATGTCCAGGACGAGCAGCATGTCCACAGCCACTTGGACGTCAAACATGGCGCGGTTCGTGTCACTCAACCCGAACGCAATGTTGGCCGGGATATACACGAGCGCATAGCACGTGGCGACGGCAATCAGCGCGTCCCAATACATTTTGAACGGAGAATGGATCGACAGGATGTACGCTACACACGGATGAGAACACGTGTGCGTGTGTGACAGAGTCTGAGGGGACGTACTTTTGTTGTGAGTGCGCAAAAGCATCGCATTGTCGTTGGCCATTTGATTCAGCTCGCCCTCCAACATGGCCGCATCCACAACCTGGTCGTGGTTGTCCGATGCAAATGGATGGAACAGCCTGGCCACTACAACAACCTGTCAGCAATGACCTGCTACTGGACACGCACACATGGTACTGACTTGCTCGGGGGGCATGGAGGTGTGAGATGGCGGCAGA